CGCATTCAGACGTTAGCAGAATCCTAAATGAAACTCGAATGCGTCACCCCAAAACTTGACTGATAAACCAAAAAACTCGTCCTTTATATCTTGTCCTTTATAGTCACGGAATTCTTCTTGATTGCATTATATTCAGAACAAGATCGTAAATATAAGATTGCTAAAAGCTAGTACTGTCGGACGCTGGTTCCTGATAAAACGCTATTTTCAAGAAGGGATTTATCCTGAGCGCTGAAGAAAGGTGTATAGCAGATAGCGATAAATTGTACAGCTCACCTGCGACAGATAACACTAAAGGCCGCTCAGCTTACGCATCCCTTGATAGCCTCCACACTAGAGATCTCGTTTCGCCTGAGAAAATAGCTACCTCAGCTGCGACTGCAATACTAGTCTCGATAAATGGCTCTGCTCAAAGAAGATACTTGAATTCTTCAGCCAAGCAGTAGGAACGGATAAGATCCGTATCAAACTGCACTCATATCTCAATTTCTTGCCATCTCAATTTATTCAGTCCATCAACAAGTATATCAACAACAAACAGCGAACAAGCAACAAAAGAATAACAATTTTTGGTACAATTACTCTTCGATACACCCCTCACTGTGGTTCAGAAAGAGTACGAAAGTCAGAGCTCCTTTGAACGAGCTCCAAATTCAGCTTGCGGTTCTCTTAGAAAATCTTTGTCAAGTGAGGAGGCAAGCGGTCCTACATCAATAAAGTTCTTTAAACAAATTCAAAAACTCAAAGAGCCCTGGTTTAGTGACGCCCTCTTCCTCTTCCCGAACGTGACTTCTTTCCACGTCCTTTCGTCTTATCTTTGCTCTTCATAGCACGCAGATCTTTCTTCATTCGACTAAACCAAGAAAAGATCGCTCACAAACGTAAGTGCTGATAGTAAAAAACCTCTTGCGATAAAAGGTATAGGTAAAAAAAATTAATGCAACAGCAGGAATCTCGTTATGTAATTACTGATGCGGTAGTCCCGGTTGGAACGCACAAAAATACTCAACGCACCTGTCCACAAGCTTGTATCTCCCATTTGGCCTTGCAATCTTTCCTTTCTTGCCTTTTGTCATCACAATTAACTCTGTTTTCTTATGATCTTTCCGATGAGCAGCAGCGTAGATCCTAGATTTTCATTTTTTTTCTTTTTGAACTCGGGAGAACTTTGTTGTACGGTTTCCATTAAGGTGTCCCTTATATGTTGAAGTAATCTTCAAGTCAAAAATGTACATCGGTCCATACAAGGTGTTAAGCATTGAGATACAGCTGAAAGCCCAGGTGTACGCTGGGTTACCCACGTACCAAGGTCCCATGATCACTCTCTAGCTATGATTATAACCACCTATACGGTACACTATAATCCCTATGTGTAGACAAAGTTTCATCTAGCTATGCTACCGACAACGATCCCAGATTTCTCTTCTTCCTAAATTTTGCACACCAGTGAGTTTGAGGTCATTCATTGGACACTGAACTTGTGGGCAAGTTTTGCGCCACTCCTTTATATGAACACTAAGAAGGCAACTCTACTTGTCAAGCTCATAAAAACTTACTTCTTCATCTCTCGAACTTTTTCTGAATGTTCAAGGTTCTCATTTTCTAGCACACCCTCAGCTTTTTTCTTTGCAGCTTCCAGACGTCGCAGTGCCCTCAAAAGAACTATTTTATCGAAGATGCTCTTAGAGCCAAAGAAATCGAAAACACATTAGAAGAACGTTAGTTTTCAACCATCCTTACTTCCTCCGTTTTCGCTCTTTTGCTTCAGCCACTTTCTTGCACGGTCGCGCATTTAACTCTCTCAACCTCTTTCGGTACTCTTCCACTTGTGCCTTAAACATCAATTGTGTCAAGACCTCACACGAAAAAATATATTACAAATTATTGATAGTGGGAAAACCCCGTTAAATAATGTTGTTGTGCTCTCTTGCACTTTCCTACAATCAGACATTGGTAGAATTTGTGAATAAGAAGGTATCAAAAGTCTCAAATGAAAATCAAGAGAATAGCGCCAATACCCTCCTAATACCACAAAATCGAAACACTTATTACGCCAATAATGAGAAGCGATTAGATCAAAACTTCAAAAAGCAACCACCTTTGTAACGGGTAACTGCTTTCGATAGTGCTTTTTTTCATCTTCGACGAACCAATCCGGAAGTCCCTCATCATTATTTGTATACCTGAAGAAAACAACTAATGACTTTGGCGAACAGCCAATTTCGGTCGCGAATCACCTGTTCCAGCCCCACTCTTCCAACTCTCGGGCTGACTTGCTCGAGTATATCAATTGCTCTCCGAGGGCTAGCTGTTCAGGGGTTAGACGACGTTTCTTCGCTTCTAAATAATAAAATTAAAGTTGGAGAGACGTGAAAGCACTCGTGTAAAATAGACGAAACCTCACAATATACAAAAACGTACTCGGTTTCAAGTCCTCGTCGAGTAGCCTTTTCGGAGCCTCTCTTTTGGAAGCTCGCTTGTCTTCTGAAGAAGAATTAGGAAGGAGTCTATTTCGAAGATTTGGCTATTTGAACATACCCTCTTCGAACTCTTCGTTCTCCCAAGCCATTTCAGCTGTGAACCTTGACTTAGGAGGTGAATCGTCTTCAGGCTCAGCATCTTGCTCTTCGTCTTCGTCTGTCTCTTCCCCGTCCTTTTTGTTAAAGCCGTCGTCGTCACCAAGCGCTTTCCGCTTCTTTCCAGATACATTTTCGTCATCAAAGGTGACTATAAGAGATTCTATGGGCAATCAGCTCTTGAAAAATTTGAGGTGATATGCACCTACCGGTGTTGGCGTGAATATTTTTGTTCAGTCGCTTCATATGTTTCTCTATCACATTCAACTCCTCATCGTCGTCTTCATCGGATAGCAATCCAGCGATTTCTTCCTAAGAAAAAAATACGATGGAGACCATCAACTGGGGGGTAAACCAAAACTTAAGTTAAATAAAAAGAAAACAAGAAAATAAAGAGAGCTGTGAGGAATAAGGCTTATAGTGAGCCGTTGAAGACGAGAATATCATTACAAATCCCGAGAAACATTGAAAGAAAAACTTAATTAACCCATTGCGTACCGTACTGTTTTTGCGCTAGCTGCCGCATGTGCCCGGCGTTTTCTTCGAAATCGACGCAGCAGTGGTTCAGAGCGTGCAGCACGCAGCCACACAGAGCGGCTGTTTAAGCGAATCGCAAAGTATGGACTCTTCGAACCTTATTAAAACTTGGAGTGATTTTGGACGAAAACGCTGGGCGCAAGGGCGAATGGCGTGCTGCAACATGTGCAGCACACGGTACGCAATGAATAGGTTAAGCTTTCTAAACATACTTTATTAAACCACTTGTCGGCCCGACTTTCTTTCTTCTGTACTTTGCTCATCCCGCTTTCTTCAGTATTAATCAGTTCATTATCGCTCTCGTCACTGGATTCATTCTGTGCCTCGTCATCAGACCCTTCATTCTCATCGTCTGACCTGAAAATGATTAAAACTAATTCTGAAGGAAAGGCTTGCCGCTGCACCAGGTCTGCAAAGTAATCGACCGTTTTCTAATATAATTTTCGTCTAAACTCGGCCTACGGCAGATTCACGGGGCTATATTAGGAAAATTCGGAAAAATATCCTCTTTTACCCTTTCACCTATTGTATACTGCTCTTTTTTCATGTTTTTTCTTCGTTCACAAGTACGTATCTTTAAAGAGCTTCCATCAATAGGTACCGCTTCATTGGTTTAAGACAGCGGTTGATTGACCTCGTCAGAGGACCGAAAATCGCCCGCGCGGTGACCTATTTCTAGGCGGAGCCGCGGGGGTTCCTCCTGACTCACATCCCCTCCCCCTTCCCACTAAAACCCTGCTAAGAAATTAACAAAACTCATAATGATCAATAGACGCTATTTATGAGATTATTTAAAAATCACTATCAATAGGCTAAACCTACTCATCCCCTCCTCTTGTCTCCCACTCTCCTTCGCCCAGCCCCTCTTCTTCGTCTTTGTTGTCTCCCATCTCTGGCGTTTGAACATCATCGGATGTCAGCTGCTTTATTTCTCGAGCCTTAAATTTTGCACAATTCAAGGGAAAACAAAGAAAGACATGAAAATATGGGCGGTTCCATCTAAAAACACTATGGCATAAGGAAAAAAGTCTGCAAATAAACTTACTCTGCGGATCTTCTTCAAACTAAACAGTTCAATGTCTTCCACTTGATCCGCATGATCGCCTTCTATGATCATTTTCAGTTGACGACGTCTAATGATCTTCGCCTTCGCTTTCAGTAGCTTTTTCTTCCTTCTAAAACATACAACCGATGCAAAACAGTACCAATACTATCCCTATAATAGAGAATAATGAACGAACTTCTTCAGCGCTGCTCGTTCCTCTTCGCTGGCTCGCGCAATCATTGCATCTATCTCTGCCATTTCTTTGTCTCTGAAGAGAATAAAATTCTATGAACTCTTTACATTTTCTACCGGAAGGAAGTAAGTTCATTGGTATTCAACTTACTCGAGTTCATCGTCATTCAATTCAGGAGCGGGCTGCGTTTCTTCACCAAGTTCTCTAAACGGCAGCATGAGATCGTTAGACAAAAATTTACCGTAGAACCCGTCACCAGAACAAAACTCACTCCTCAAGAGCTTTAAGCTCCTGTTCAAGTATTCCCCTCATTGCTTTCCTCCACTTCAACAGTTTTCTGAGCTCACGTGGCCCACAAACTTTTAGATCTTTCAAGTACTCACGAATCTAAAAAACGGTTAGAGAAATAAGATCACCGACCA